TAGTACGTATGACCACAGTACTTTCAGTACGAATGTAGAATATTTGAATGATATCATGTGTTATTAGGAATGTTCCAAATATCCATGACCGACGTCTAATGGACGTCTACTGGAGGGTTTTGTTCTATATGGGATTACATATAATTTCTATTATGATTTCTGAAAATAAAATTTTTTTTAAATAAAATATGCTTAAAGATATAATTCACAAAAAATTAATATCTAATCTTTAGATAAAATTTATAGATTAAATATCTTTATAATATCCATTGTTTATATCAATTAAATTTAATATCAATAAAAATATTATCTTTTATACAATAAAAAAGTTTTATTACATTTTAATTACTCGAATATAAATTTATGTATAAATAAATTGTCTGTTTACTTACCATTCAAACAATCGGCTCATTCTATTGGAAGATATCTGTGCAGTTATTCAGCTATCCGTTCGGTAAATTTCGATCACGTGATAAGCAGATGAGAAAGCAGTGAATGCACAAAACCTTGCGTAAACGAGTGCACCCTATATGTATAATTGGTCTGCTATTAGGGCCTATCCGGACAAATTTGTATAACAGCATAACTATATGCATAAGGAATATTATCCAATCGCATTTCTATCATAAAGACACATGTAAAATGCGGAAAGGATGTCCTATGCATAAATGTCCTTATGCATATGGTTATGCTGCTATGCAAATTTGTCTGAATAAAATTAAATTAAAATACATCGTGAATATATCTCTGAATTTATAATGGCATTTCAAAAGTAATGATGTACAATGTACATGTGTTTCTTTGATCTATTGTAATTAATCTATCCTAATATCACTCGTCTATTCTGAGAACGTTCCATCATTATATGTTTTTAAAACGATCACCCATCCTACCTAGAATCTTGCTCAATGTTGCCTAACTTCTATAATGAGATGAAACCTGCAACTGAAATGATGATATAAGTAAACACGGAATTTTGACATAAAATATGATAGATCCGGTTAATGAATGTTACTATATTGTCATATAGTCTTAATTTTGATCTTGATTGCATATGTAATTCTTGTGGATAATTTAATTACATTTATAGATGCGTGAACCTATATTGTATTTAATGAGAATCATTTTTATTATGAAAATTGTTTATAAATTGCTGAATGTATTTTATTTGTTTATGAATTTGTCAATAATTGTATTAAATATGGGAAATATTTTTCTTATTTATATATTACAGTTAATTAAGAAAGATAATAATTAATAATGTTATTTCATTATTTATTCATTAAAAATTACGATTAAATGACAATATGTTTATAACGATAATATTTCGTGACAAATGTTACACTTATTTTACGTCATTATTTAGTACACTGACGTCGAATGACGAAAAATAATCTTAAATCATCGTCATAATGATGTCATCTTTGCTACTTGGGATATGACAAATTATATTCTACACAGATTTTATACAAGATTAATAATCTTAATATCGTCGGTATGATTACAGTACATTCAGTATAAATACAAAATATTCGCATGAGATTATATGCTGATAGGGTATATTCGGTATATTCTGAAGATGAACTTAAGAATATACGAGAAATTATATACCATCAAGATGTCATATGAATGTTTTCTGGTATATTAGGCAATAATACGTATGACCACAGTACTTTCAGTACGAGTGTAGAATATTCGAATATTATGTGCTATTAGGGTGACGATATATTTATAACGGTAATATTTTGTGACAAATGTTACGTTTATTTTACGTCATTATTTAGTACACTGATGTCGAATGACGAAAAATAATCTGAAATCATCGTCATAATGATGTCATCTTTCTACTTAGGATATAACAAATGATATTCTACACAGATTTTATGCGAATAATCTTAGTATCTTCGGTATGATCACAGTACATTCAATATAAATACTCGAATATTCATATAAGATCATATACTGGGATGATAGGATATATTCGGTATATTCTTAAGAATATACGAGAAATGATATATCATCAAGATGTCATATGAATGTTCTCTGGTATATTAGACAATGTACTATATGGGTACGTATGATTATAGTACTTTCAGTACGAGTGTAGAATATTCGAATGATATTATATGCTATTAGGATAATGTAATTATTATTATTAATAATTTAATAATTTAATAATATAATAATTTTTGTAAATCAAAAATGCCACCTTGTTGTATACTTGTGTGCTCTAATCGCACTAAAAAAGATTCAAATATTAATATGGCTCGTCCTTAGCGGACCTGATATCATACCGATATTCTGTACTCATACAGAATATCTGATCATCGATAATATACGGAGAAAATTTATATAATATCTCTGCATAATATTATTTCTCGTATTTTTTAAGGATATAACAAACTTTGCTACTTATACTGCATGTATTCTGATTATATGTATATATACTCAGAATATTTGTGTAATATCTTAGTGGGTACATCTCGAATGCGCCTTTAATTTGTATTATCAAAACATACTATAAATGTCTATGGACAATATAGCTTCTGCAAAGAGAAAAAATGTTTTAGCGGATATTATTAGATTTATATATATATATAATATATATGGAGATATTCAGTAACATACTAGTAGCTTGACAAGAAAAGCTGCCAGTCAGGACCAGCAAACTCAAATGGTCGCGAGTTCTTCGTTATGCGCCCTCGGTTCTATCAGAGTGCGTCAATGAAAAAAGATGTTTACTCTCATAAGTATAGAAAAATTATATGATTTTACTGGTTTATCGTCAATATTATTGTTTATTAACGATCACTGTGAATTAACGATTATTGCAAAATATTCATTCTGAGTGTTTAATAGTGTTTCAGGTTGCTTTCTAATATTCATTGCAAGTCCTGAAAATCTATAATATACGTGAACTATACTTTCAGTACTAGCAATGAATATCGGAACAAAGTGTTAATATTGTCGTATTTTTGTTACAACGGGGTGGATCGAGTAGTTTCGTTGTGGATATGTAATATAAAATATTTTGATACTACATTTTTAATATGTTTAATATTTTCTTTAAAATGTAAAAACTTTATTTTGCTTATTTACAACAAAATAAATAATAATAATTTTTACATATTTTTAAACGTGTGCTTTTCTTTATATACTTGTATCCCTTTTTCAAACTTTTATCATATTTTGCAGTCTCATAATTTATTTTATTTTATTATTATGTATGTGTAAATTATTTTATTATATTATTATATTTTTTTATTATGTATTATGTATAAAATATTATATTTACAAATAATTTTTTAATTTCAGTTATACATATTCACATAATGCAATATATAATTGAGAAAAAAAATTTAATGAAGAATATATTTTTTGCTTTATTTTTGGTTTTATATAGTTTGAAATATTTTTTTCGATCTCATATATATATATATATATATATATATTA